GGAGATCAGCAAGCAGAGACACAAGCCAGAAAGCTAGTGGTCAGCTGGATTTCTCCTTAGGACTAGATACCAGTCCACCTGATGGTACTAACCATCAGGATGGCTCCTCCCCTTCAATTCATCCATCCCTTCAGGAAAAGCTCCCACAAACACACCAAAAGTATGCCTCACTAGCTGTTTCTTAATCTGATCAAGTTGCTAAAATCAACTATCCTACAAATAAACATTCCTAAACCTTTTGAGACAGTGACTTGCTATGTAGTCGTGGCTACTGGCCTAGAACTCTGTGTAGATCAGGCTAACCTCAAACTAGTGGTGATCCTCCTACCTCAGCCTCTCTAGGGCTGGGATTACAGGAGTGTACCACCCTATCTGGCTTCAATCACAAAACTTTTAAAAAGCAATGTCTACTCAAAGAATTCGTAATAATTCTTTACAGGGTTCTTCATTCCCAATTGTATTCTATTAAACAGAGGACACCAAATATATTTATGAAAAGCGATAAGATCATGAAATAATTACAACTTCTATACTTGGTCCTTCCTTATTTTATATCTAACAAAATATTTCAAAGATATGGTCAAATACATAAATAACCAAATAAGTCCTAAAATAAAAACAAGCAAACACTTTTAATGAATTATGCACTGGGTAATAGACAAAGATAATATCTGTGGTGGTTTGAATGTGAATGGGCCCAGAGGCTCACATTTGAATATTTTTTCCCCAGTTGGTGGAACTGTTTGGGAAGGATCGAAGATATGGCCTTGTTGGGGGAGGGTTTAGAGGATTACAACAAATCATGTAATTACCAGTGCACTCTCGCTCTGGCTCTCTCTCTCTCTCTCTCTCTCTCTCTCTCTCTCTCTCTCTTCATGGACTCTAACCCTCTAAAACTGTAAACAAAATTAAGTGATTTCTTTTATAAGTTGCCTGGGTCATGGTGTTTTTTATCACAGTAATAGAAAAGTAACTAAGACAGAAGTGGGTACCAGGGAGATGACTATTGCTATAACAGGCCTGATAGTGCTGGGTTTGGAGAAATGTGGAAGGCTGTTAGAACCACTAGGGATGTGTTCAATACTATAAGCATGGCTTAACTAGTCATTCTAGTAGGAGCTGGGAGGACAGTAACACCAAGAGCAATGTAAACTATGGAGGCTCAAGAGAAGCATGCACAAGGAATTACATGAGTCTTTTGAAATCTCAAAGCCTACCTTAGTGACAGTTATTACTAATCACACTTATGTAGGTATACAATGAAAAAGAGGAAGTGGAACAAAATAGAAAATATATAGCTTAAAGAAAAAAAGATCACTAGGAAATTAATGTTGGAGGCAAAACTTGTGCTGAAAAGATTTTAAGACTAGTGAGAGACCTAATCGGAAATGGAATAAAAGGAGTGGTAAGCTCAGGGCAAGACCCCACCCAGCCAGCTAAGTTTCCAACTTGTGAAAAGAAGAGGCTCCTAAAAAGAAAGAAAAACAAACAAACAAACAAAAATCAAAGCTGCTATGGCTGAGACTCAAGGGTGGCAGGGTTAGTAGTCATGCTTGGTGGTGTCTACCACATGGTTCTGGCTTCAGAATCATGAAAGATGCATGGGTAAAGGGGTTATGGAATCTCCCTTCATGGTTGAGAGGCACCGAGGCCAGGCCTGTGGCAGAGGAGTACCTGAATGGAGGCCCTGAGAGGCCACTGCGTGAATCTGGGAGATTTCTGATTTGCATTGGAGACCGCAAGATATTACAGTGCCAGGCCCACAAGTACCTGTCAAGGAGAGCTGCATACAACAAGTGTAACTGGTGGGAGAGAGAAAAGTACATTGTAGGCAGCAAAGCTGGAAGAGTGGCGCCTCCTGAGTCCTTCCTCATGAGGCATCGAACTACAGGATTTGGAGTTTGCATTGCTGGGTTTCAGCCTGACATTAGTCTAGTGTTTCCTCACTGTATTCAAATCCCTTCCTTTCTGAAACATAATGTATATTCTGTGCCATTGGATGTTGGAAGTATGCAATATTATTTTTAGTTTTTATGGTGGGTTAAAGTTAAGAGACTGCCTTGAGTCTCAAAAGACTCTTTGAACTTTTGAACTGTGTTGCGTCTGTGAAAAACTATGGGGACTTTTGAAGTTGAACTAAATGCATCCTGTATTATGGTATGGTCACAAACCTATAAGGGATAGGGAGTGCAGTGTGGTGGTCTGAATGAGAATGGCCCTAAAGGGTCACATATTTGAGTATTTGGTCCCAAATTGGTAGAACTGTTTGGGAAGGATTAGAAGGCATGGCCTTGCTGGAGGAGGCATGTCACTGGAGTAGGGCTTTGAGATCTCAAAAGACTCCTCTAATCTCCACTGCTCTCTCTCAGCCTCATGGCTGTGGATCACAATGTGGGGAATCTCAGCTGTTCCTTTGCTCTGGCACCATGGACTCTAACCCTCCGAAATCATAAGCCAAATTAAATGAATTCTTTAACAGCCTTTGTTTTGTTGCAGCAATAGAAAGTACTAAGACAATATCTAATAATGTATTTTATTTATAATAAGAAAATGAAGTTGTTTTCCTTAATAAACATTATTCCTTCAAGTATTAAGTTATTCCTCATGAAGAAAAATCAAAGGAAATTTATCTAAATGTGAATTTTTAAAAATTAAGTTTTCATTCAAAGATTGCCAGAGAATCATAAAAGCATGCAAAATAAAAACATTGTTTACCAGGTCCCAAAATACATCAGAGAAAAAAAACCAAAGGAAGAAGTATCAAGGGAAAATTTATAAATAAAGTAAATTCACAATAAGATGTGATTGGTTAACAAGAAAGATACTCTATGATAAATTAATATATTCCAACAGGCACTGAAAAAACAGCTTTCATAAGCTTGGATTCTGAGCCATGGAAATCTTTATTCCCCAATATGCTCAATGAAACTCTAATGGGTAAATACAATCAAAGGCAATTCATGTTAGTGTTGGGACACAATATCTTATCTAGCACCCAATACACTGACAACCTGAAACACTTAAGAACACAATCCTTTACTTAAACTTATCATTTCTTCACATTTGAAGTCTTCTACAAACTTTAAGAGAAAAGGGAAATTTTAGTTTATAAAAATGAGTGTGTAAACATAGCAAAAAAAAACAAAACAAAAATCAAGCAAAGTGGTGTATGTTCAAGTTCCCTTCTTTACTTCCTTATTATTTTAAAATATTGATTTCAATAAATTAAATCTTTAAAAAAATATGGGTTTTCCTTCAGGCTCACCTTTAATTGCATTGAGTGATTTGAATGTAATTAACTGTATTTGGATGATTGTTTCCATTCTCCCAAAGAAAAAGATTCTTATAATAATTTTTAAGACTCTCCACATAAAATATGTATATGAACTACAATATTTTTAATTCCAGAATATCTTCAAATGTATATAAATTTCAGAAAGATTAGCATGTGTTATAGTTAAGGTAAGTCTCTTCCTAAGACTTATATGTTAAAGGCATGGACTTTAGCCCATGAAGAAAAAGGAAGACTGTAAAAGACATGGAGGCCTAGAGGAAGGTTTTCTATTAATTTAGGACATGCCCTTAATTGGGACATAGAGATTCCATCCCCTTCTTCATTTTCTCTTCATGTCCTAGTCATTACATATGGGGTTTTACTCCTCAACTGGGTCCCTGTCAGCTGGTACTGCCATACGAGATTCCCAAAAGCAATGGGACCACCCTACAACTTCCCATAGACTTTTCTTTTCATAATTGATTTTGGTCAGGTATTTTGTTACAGTGAATCAAAGCTGGCAAGTCAAGCACAAGAACTAGATATAAAGACAGGAGGTACACATATTTATCCATTTAAAAACTTCTCCAAGTAGCTCAAAAACCCTTGAAATGCATGAGAGCTACAGAAAGAACCACTAAAGTCAGAAGACAGCATATTACACTATTACACATCTATATTTGTTATTGTTCATAATGTTCAAGAGGTTTGCACACCAATTGTGGAAGACAGGCCAGGATGGCATAAAAATTCTCACTTTCCAAATACTTTACAGGCTAAGGGTTAAAGGTAGCCTAGCAATGGAATTCTATTGATGGTAGACCTCTGTGCTACTTCTTATTAACCCAATGTGTTTAACCCTTAAAATATACACATCTGAGCCAGAGATAGGTGCTTGCCATCATACCCAATAACCTGAGGCCAAATCTTCAGGACTCACATATTAAAAGGAAAGAAATGATACCCTGATGGTGACCTCTGACTTCTACATTTATGCCTGCGTACACACACACACACACACACACACACACACACACACACACACACTCTACAAATGTAAGAATACATTATGAGGCTAATCATCTGGTCATGTAGAAATTTTTTGGTAAAAACTACCTAACAGCTTTTAATGAATACTATAGAAAGAAACAAATGTACTTGACTTGTACCATTTTGGACCAGCTTACTTCTTAGCTATAATTCAATCATCTTTTTAGGGAATTAGAATAAGTGGCAAGATGGGACAAGATATGCTAAATAGGAAAACACATTTTAGAAAGTGCTATGAAGCAAGAAGACAATAAATATTTAAATATTGCCAAGTTTTAAAGTGCTAATTTTCTTACCTTCCACTTTCAACCTGCCCTAACTAAGGTATTAAGTTCTATTGCCTACTGAGCTTCTTTGTTATCATAAGAACAGGTAAGTGATTTTAAGTGCTTGAACACAATGTACCAATTCATTTAAAAGTAAATATTCCACTTCTAGAACTTTAAATAGGTGACAGGCCAATGATCATGGGGAATATTAGCTACCAATAATGAAAAGAGCTAAAACAGAAGTTGATGAATTAGAGTAAGAATAAGCTCTGGAGCACATTTTGTTGAGTTTTAAAAGACAACCACGATACTTCCTTCAGTTGTAATATTAAGATGTTTCCTTTTCCTTGCCTCATTCAAACGGGCCGTGGAAAGGCAGTTAGAACAGTGATGAAACGAATGCTTACAGGCTTGTATCTCAGAGCATCCCTGTAGGATCCAAACAAAGCCGCCTGCGCCCTCAGAAAGGCCCGAGCTACTCCATCTCCCGTAGCCGTGGACTGCTTCTTCAGCTTATTTTTCAAGGCCGAGACCTGCATGGCAGAGAGGAACAGTTAAATTAACACCTCAGAAATTGGTACAGCGAGGTACGAACCCAATCAGCAGGCAAAGCGCAATGTCTGCAGGTCAGCCAAAATCCATCGTCCTCCCTGAGAGCTTATCTTTTTAGCTGTACCGAGCACCTGCTGCTCCGCTAATTGAAACGAGAGCGGGAGAGGATAGCAATGTGCTAATGCAAATTGGTTTATGCTCTCTTTTTTTTCCCAAGGCCTCTTGACATAAATAAGCTTTAATTATTTACAGTAAACTGCTTGTGAGGCACTTTTCTGCAGATTTTTAGCAATTATAACGTGTGTCGACTTGTTTAGAGATAAAGCTGGCTCCATAGCATTCATTTCTGTTGTGCATTGTTATTTGTTAGGAGTCCTTCAAGATCATTTACAATTTTATTTTATGTTTGGAAGCATCATTTGCATAAGTAATTTTCTCTTTTTATTATTATCAGAAGAAAAGAGAGAAGAGATAAAGTAACAGAGACCGTATCATGAATGGAAAATTATGTAATATAAATGTTATATATTGTCTCATTTAAATTTCATCACATTCTCCTAAGAAAACATTCATATTCTCTTTTATGAATGAAAAAAGTTAGGACAAATAATAGGAACCAGTTTGCTTTCACTATAGGGCTACTCAGAGGGAGAGTTGTGATGCAAATCTAGTGTCCACATACTGGACTCGAGTTCTGCATCACTGCCACACCAATCAGCAATCAGGACAAAATACTAATGTTTTTAGAAAGAAATTTGAACATTAATGTTTGACCTGGAAACATGAAAAATTTGAAATGTTGTCAAACTTACACTAGGTTATGCCTATTCTAATTTTAAACGCTATGTGTTTTAGAAATGCAAGTATAAGAGGCCAGTGGACTGAGCTTTAAGTGAGCTCATACTCAGGGTGCTCACTCTTTTATATTCATTTCACTAACTATTTTCATTCAAAATGGAAAACTATAGTCTGTACATTGAAAACACCAAATTTCATATACTCCTTATTGATTTTCAATAGAAAACTGTGAAGTTACATTCTATTTTCTTACAGAAATAAACACTAATTTAGAGAGGAATTTTAACTAGATTGCTCCCTCAAACATAACAATATTAGCTGTATAAACTACCAGATAATAAAAGATACCATTTATCTTTTACATATGTGCAAAGGGGAATATTTTTATTTCTTTGTTCAAGTAGTCCTGACTACTCTTATAGATGATGATTGTAATTGAAGTGTGAACCTAATTAACAACTAAACTTTGAATAATGCTAATGAGAAATGAACACAGCATCAGAGGAAAGACCAGCTCTACAGGTGATAAACCTTCACAGTAGTGACATTTTCCAGTGTAAAGTCACAGTTACTGTGATCTCATCAAAGAAACAGACCCCCATTGGGTCCAATTATAACTATAGTTTTGAAAAATTATTGAGTTATGGTATTCATAATCTATGCAGAAAGGCCTTTGTGGTATAAGTCTTCTCCCCATAGCTGTGATCTTTTCAATTTATATCCAAGCTCCACAGATTCAGATAAAAGTTTAGAGCCTAATTCATTTAGCCACAAAGTGCTAAACCAGATTCATTTCAGAGAAGCTTTTATTATTCAAATCTAACCTTAGTTTAGGTAATCCACATATTCAAACAATAACGCAGTTCAAACACACTTCAGACTTAATGTCCTTTATTCTAATTTGAAATGCTATTTTTCTACATGTAAAGAAAATGGAAACAAATATCAAAATATATATTTGATTACTGTCCTTCCTGTAAAGATTACGATATAAGGAATATGCATCCAATGGCTAAGAATACTATGAAAACTAAATCCTTTCAACAAAAAAATGAAACAAAAGCTTCACTTATTTACAAAAGCCATGCCTTGTATCTTTGCAAAAGTTCAAGTTTACTTTTCAGTAAAACTGACAATTTGGTTCTCCATAAAACAAGGAAATACTACTGTTAGGGCAGTCAGCACATTCTAGTGGAATGGAGAGGCATCACACACTCCCCCAGGCTTCTGTTTACCATGCCCTGGGCTGTGTAACTGCTATCCTAGCTATCCTGAGAACTAGTCACAGCACCAAGCCCTTTCTGGCCAAATGAGGATACAACCTTCACTTCTACAGTCAGTCAGTCACATGGCAATCATCTAGGAACTCTTTTAGTATCCAGAATACGAGGGAAAAAAAAAAAAAAAAAAAGAAAATTTCTGTTCTATAACTAGCTTTCCAAAATGGCAGCCATCAGGCACATGACCAAATGAATGTCCCCATCCAAGAGTATAACTGCTCCAAATACATAAAGCAGGCCTCACACCTAGAAGATTCTGCACATAAAGAAACTCAACAAATTTTATGCTGACTAGATTTTGAAGCACTGTTTTGTATAGAATGAAATAAAATATATCATTAAATCAATTTTGCCTATTCTTTGAATTTATGAATGAGATTTCAGAGAACTTGTGATGACTTGTGTGGCTCTCGTTGTGGTTCTCTCAGTTAGTACCATTGTAAGTCCTATCTAATCTCATATAAACATGTGAGACACAAAATTTCCTAGCAAGAAATGTACCATTTTTTTCTCTGCTTATTTCTATATTATTTCAAGTACATCACAAAGATTTTTTTCCCTTGGCTTGTTCTAGATTGCCATACCTGTCACTAGATCTGATTTCCAGGGGCCAGAAAGGCAGCTGAATTCAAGACTTCTATGTGTGAATATAGATGCTCAGTAATAGTCTATCAAAATGAAATTGTTTGTAAAATTCCATTTTAGGAAGAAGTGCATTCATGTAATATAAACTGACTGTGTCAAACCTTGCTGTTTTCACTGGCCTTCAGATCCCTGCAGTAAATCAACACTGGTTACCATTGCCCTTTGGTGCTAATTAGCTTTTAGCAGTTTTTAATCTATCCTCTGATGGTGTCTCTTCTGCACCCTTCACAGTATCTGCTCTGGGAAATAACATTTTCTACTTTAGTTCCAAGCTTCTACCTTTAGGTATGAAATGAATGCACATCCTCCAAAGGAACTGTAAAACTTACATTAGCATGTAACTGAATTCAGAAAACAATATTTAGGACTTTGGTCATGGGGCTGCTGTCACAAATCCTGTTACACTGAAAAAGCACTAATCATTTTCCCTCAGAAAAGGAAGCTATGCTGAACCTTCACTTGCTAAAGACTATGTCACAGCTCTTACTACACTTTATTTTTAGACAGTTCTCTGCCTGTAAATATATTCTCTGTCTAGTTAAATACACACAGGTCAAAAAAATCTTCAGTGCAAAAAAAGAATCTTCAGAAATAAACACTTTATTTCTCTTCTCAAATATTTAAGTTCCCTTTGTACAAGGACAATCTGGGCCTCCACCCAGCATTCACAGCATTAGGAGCAATGGGAGTTTACTGCAAAATTGATGATATTGACACCAACTGTCCACATGTTCCTTCTTAGCAATGAAGTGACTACGAATAAAGAGAGAAGTGCATAAGTAAACAGAGAAATGGGTACAACTAGAGTGTAAGAGTACGTGTACATCATAATGACACAAGGAAGTCACTAAGTCTGTGAGGATGGACATGGGTTTTTCTCTTCATTGCTGTGATAAAGAAAACTAACTTTTACCTAGATATTCTGATTTTATTTTCAGAATCATGGTGAAGGGCAAGCATAAAAGTATTCTATAACAACAGGGGTCAGCACAGCATGGTGATTCTAAGGAGAAACAGTGATCAGCATGGCATGGTGACCCTAAGAAAGCAACAGTGATCAGCAGGGATGGTGACCCTAAAGGAGCAACAGTGATCAGCATGGCATGGTGACCCTAAGGGAGCATAGATGGCATGCATATCATGGCTAACTACCAGAAATAGTTAAGTCATAGATAATGAAACCAGCACTTCACCAAAACATCAAAACACCTAACTATAATCTAAGTATTATTTATAAGTGTTATTCTCACTCCTCAACAAAGAAACTTCTCTTTGCAACAAATGGAGAAAACCATTGCAAAAGCCCACAACTGATCAAAATACAGAATTTTGGAGCCCATTTCCAACTGCTACATCTACAAGACGACCCTTGCACCTAAAGCTCAGTAATCATTGCATAAGAGAGGGCAGAGAGATTGTAAGAGCCAGAGGAAGAGGGAGTTTGCTGTGAGATTGTGACTCTTACAATCTCAGAAGCTATAGCCATAAAGTCTCACCAACATGAATGCCTAAACATGAGCTGAGTAAGGGTAGCACCAACAGACATGCTAACATGGATAGAGGAAATCCCACGGCCTCAACCATAGACAAAGAACTCTAGGTAATTTAGCAATGCTGAGTGGGAAGAGCATATTTAATTATCCCATACCAAGTGGTCATCACTGAAAACCTACAAGGAACACCATATGGACTAAGCAGGTTATATTTATATATTTAGAAGCATACACACATATCCAAATATAAAAATATTAATATAAATATAAAATCCAAATAAATATAAAAATCCAAATATAAAAAATATACATATATATGGAACAATATTTTTTTAAAAAGGCATCTCACATGTAGGCACTGTTACACAAAGACATGATGTGCTTAGCTGTGCTATGAAAGACTTATCTAAGTTTTTGATAAAATGGTATCTAAGCTTGGCCAAAATTATGTTCACCTCAGCTTCCTGGTAGTAGAGATAGCTGTGTCAGTCACATACATCAATTCTCCCTGTCTTTGTTAATGTTAGTCCCAAATGCTGAACAATGCATGTATAACCTAGTTGTTTCCCTGTGACTTGGTGTAAGACCAGGCAAATGGAATGTGAACAAGGCTTTTTGTACATTACCTGGATTTCTACTTTCTTAGAAAGCAGAGAACAAATAATGAAACAGGTATCTTAACCCTGGAGTTGATATCACACCTTGAAAGGGAAGTTGCCCACAGTTCTAGACAGTTTTCCTTTGAATTATTAGACAATAAATATT